ACTGTGATTTTACCCTTAATGTTCAGTGCCAGGCAACATTACATGTGCTATTAATTGTTGTGATGTGTTCTTACTTGTATATAAATAGTATGTGGATGTTTTGCTTTTTATCCAGTAACTATTAATGACTCATTTTAATTAGAAACAGATAACTAAGTATAAAAGTCACTTACCACAATGTGATTCTTGCCGCCAGCTGAAAATTCTTGAGAGCTTTCTGTGCTACTCCATCAACTTTTCTTTGTGGAAACAGGCTGGTGAAAGTTCTCCCAGTCAAATTGAGTTGCCCAGTTTCAATGTATTGCTGTGTTTATATTGTGCTGAGGCGTTATTAGTGATCCTGTGTTGATATTTCCCAGTGCAGTCCAGTTTCCAGGGTTGAGGTAACGTCTTCATTTTCATTTGGCTTCGGGATAAAAGTAAATTTCACGATGTCTCAAATCAGCATGGAACAGAAGTCTTATTTTCTGAACAGATAATTATAAAGAGAATTTGCATCTCTTCCATGTGTTATTCATCTACATATTCTTAATATATATATATATAGGTACAGTTGTTATATAAAACTAAACCATGCTGTTGGCAAACCTAATACATACTTGTACTAAAACAGGACGATAATACTCACGTGCAGTTTGGGAATAAAAGCACCTTAAAGAGCTTTCAGTTAAAGCCACCAAAGAAGCAACCCAACTGGCCAAGTTTCCCTCAAAATCCACAAATTTAACTTTTATTGAAGTCAATGGGATTTATAAGCTCTGAAGGCCAAGCTTCTGTCCTGTGTGTAAACACCGGGATTTCTTCCAAGTTTCTAAACAAAAATTAACTGAATCTCCCTTAGTGTTGTAAACAGCAGCACTTAAAACATAAAAACCTGTAGCCCTTTAGTACAGACAGTGTTTGCTACAGCACAGTCCTTGGGTTTGAACGAGAATGGGTTTTAATACGACAGAAAGATAGCTGTGCTGCTGAGAGAAAATACAACAGGAGACTAATGATAGTTCTGACTGAGCCACCGAGCGAACGTGCATTGTTGTACTGGCAGGGAGGATACTGGTAAAATCAAACTTCTCTCTGTGTGGCATCTATTGCTGCTCCTGCATAAGCTGTCTTTTAATCATTAAAGACGACTGTGGATCAGGTGTAATGTGTGGTGCTGTGTAGTCAAGGAAATGGATGTTTAATTAATTCCCTGTTAGCTTTCACTCTTTAGGTAAATTCAGGAATGTTAGAAGGTTTCAGTCATGGGTTTGGCCAGCCACACCAGTTTCCAGGTGTCCTGAAATCACCTTGGCCAGTTCTGTGTTCTGATTTTATAGAGCATTAGTCCTTTCTTACTGTTTTTTTGGGCTTGAGTTGGGGTTTTTTCCCCTGGATTTATAACACCCAAAGGCTGCATTAATTTTTGTCCAGTGGTTAAAGCAGCAAAGAGCAAATGTCGTACAGTGATTGCTCATCTGTCCTTTCCATAAACATGTCTGCTAGAATCAATAATTAAGCTTTCTGCTAAATACCAAATATATGGATTAGTAGTGTCACTGAAGGGAAAACGGGGCATCTTTTTTAACTTAAAATGTTAAATATTGCAAATTTTTTTACAGCTCCAAATCAAATGAAAGCCAAGGAAGGGAGAAACCTATACAGTTCTTCTCGTTACGATGACTATGACAGATACAGGCGATCCAGAAGTCGGAGTTACGAAAGGAGACGATCTAGAAGTCGTTCTTTTGATTACAGCTATAGAAGATCGTATAGTCCCAGAAAGTAAGTGTAATGCATGTTTGCTTTCAGCTGCACAGGAGAAGAAACACCACGTTGACTATTTAAATTGTTAAAATTATCAGTAATCTTTTTCTATCCTCACTTTGTAATTACTTGTGGGAGTTTCATATCTTGCATGCTCCATCAAATCAGAAATATTGAATGAAATTATCCTGTGCTTCGCTGAAGAATAACTAAAAGCAAATGCACAGCTTGAAAAATAATTTATTAAGTATTTGTACACATACGTGGGTATTTGTCACCGTTTACTTTTTCTGATGTACCTTTCTAGCAGTAGACCTACTGGAAGACCTCGTCGTAGCAGAAGCCATTCGGACAATGATAGGTAAAGTACTTTTTTTACCTTTTAAATTGAGAACTAGATCACTGTATTCCTTTAACTATAGGTTTTAAAAAAAAAAGTTTCTCCTGCAAAAAAAAACGGTAAACAATTTTTAATGTACTAGATGTCTAAGAATAGTGTTTTTACATTCAAATCTCCTCTCTCCCCTTTATTCTGATAGGTTCAAACACCGCAATCGATCTTTTTCAAGATCTAAGTCCAATTCAAGATCACGATCCAAGTCACAGCCCAAGAAAGAAATGAAGGCTAAATCACGGTCTAGGTCTGCATCTCACACCAAATCTAGAGGCACCTCTAAAACAGATTCTAAAACACACTATAAGTCCAGCTCAAGATATGAAAAGGAGTCGAGGAAAAAAGAACCAGCTAGATCCAAATCACAGTCAAGATCACATTCTAGATCTAGGTCAAAATCCAGATCAAGGTCATGGACTAGTCCCAAGTCCAGTGGCCACTAACTGTATCCATGTTGTTTTTAGGCATGTAAGATTCATTTACACACAGTTCAGTTTACTTAAATTATCAGGAATATGATGTTGCAACAGTGCTAAAAAATATTTTCTTTGTAAGTTTTCCCTTGTAGCCGACAATGGTTAAAATTAAAACAGTGTTGAGAAGCCACTGAGGGAGAGCGAGAGAGAGAGAGAGAGAATGTCCACTTGGTTAAATGTCATGGGCAGCTACTGATTTGGTTGTGGTGTCTCTATGTATATTTTTGTAAAGATTTGCATTTTTAATGCTTAGATATTGGTGATGACTTGGTTGAGCATAACTTGCAACATTGTCCTATTAAAAATGTCATACCCATAGAGAAATTGGTACCAGTTTGTGCTGAACAGTTAAACCAACCGTTTAACTTGTTCTCCAATGCTAAACTTTGTGATCAGACAGAAAACTGGACAGCTGTAGTGCAACACTGACTGCTGTGAAACGCAGCCTGGCGATTTCATGTTTCCGTTGTTCAGAGGCAGGTTTCTGTGTTCTCCATGCCCACTGACACAAGTAGGTTGGTAAATGGAGCTCCATGGAGAGCTATTTTGGAGATTTCTCTTGAACCCTGCCATCCAGAGAGATGGTACTAACCTTGCATGTACTACATGGGGAGAGAGTTGGTCTTGGAAGCTCGTTCAGAGATTGTGCAGTGTCGTGATTTGTCAGGATAGAGGCTTCACTGCTTTTGACCTGGCTGCTAGCACTAAACATGTGAGGGGGAAAAAAACCCAACAAACGGACAAAAACCAAAACACCGTGAAATGGAAAAGTTAAATCCAGATCTTGGCAAATGGCAGAGCAACTAAATATTAGGTTGTGTGTACATTTTATGCAGTTTTTGTATCTATTCTAAATTTTAGTGAGCAGTTAACCATAAAATTGCTTAGTTTTCCTGCTGTTAGATACAAGTAGATTGTTTCGAGTTGTGTGTGTACAGTATATAAGAACTAAACTTTTATGCCAATGACTCCTGTGGTTAGTTGGTGTATTCATAGGTATAAAACTGTAGCCATCTCTCTTCTTGAATAACAAAGGCTTGCTTTTACACATCAAAAAGTATTTGGTCGAGCAAGTCTGAATCACTTCTTCCACAGAATGGATAGTGATTTGGTTCCAAGATTTCATTTTTCTCAAGAACAAATGTTTGAAGTTGGATATGAACAAGAGCTGCATCTCTAGCTATTTAGTTTATCACTAATACAGTATATTTAGTAAATTGAATGTGAAAAATAACAAAACCAATGTGTAATCTTACCAGTATTTCTCTAGAAGGCAAGATACTTTGTTATGAAAATGGCTTTTGGCGTTGGGTTTTTATTTTCTATTTACCTTCAAAAGCCAGCATCAAACACCCAGTGTTCCTTGCTGTCTTATGTAATAGCGTATAAAGACATTGATTTCAACAAGTTCCTTTTTAGAGAAATATGTTAGGTTTTGGGTTTTTAGAGTTTTCAGCAGGGCCTTTGAAGAAACACAGATGGCTTTTAAATCTTGGCAGTGGAACGTGCTTAGGGGGTTGATCCTAGAATCTTTGTACATTTGATAGTATTTCTAACTTTTTCTTTACTGTTTGCAGTTAATGTTCATGTTCTGCTATGCAATCATTTATATGCACGTTCCTTTTAATTTTGTAGACTTTTCCTGGATGTATAGTTTAAAAACAGCAAAAAGTCTATTTAAAAACTGTAGCAGTAGCGTGCAGCTCTAGCAGAGGAAAGTTGTGGGGTTAAACTTTGTATTTCCTTTCTTATAGAAGCTTCTAAAAAGGTATTTTTATATGTTCTTTTTAACAAATATTGTGTACTACCTTTAAAACATCAATGTTTTGATCAAAATAACTAAAGACCCAGCTTATTTTCTGCTTGCTGTAAATTTAGCAAACATGCTGTAATAAAAAAAATGAAGGAAATACTGATCCACTGGAATTATTGTAGCTTTAGAATTTGACTCCAGAGCATGGTTAGGAGTAGTTATGTATCCCTTACGGAGTAAAATCCTTACTATGGTATTTCAGTAAAGTCAGGAATTTATCATTTAATGTCTGAATAAATATCATTTCACATTTTTAAAGGGGTACTAGACAAAATAGGAATGATAAGGATATGTTTTAGTCTGATATTGAAATTTCCATTAACTTTCATTATTGCTAGATGGACTGCCCTATGGTTAAAATTCAGATCCTATTAGCCAGGTTATGAACTAATTAAAATCAGCAATTGAAGATTCACATAGAACCAAATTTCTGCTATCACCTTAGTGATTTGTATTTGCTGTATCAAAAATTGCACCAGCAAGTGGTTCTCTAGAAAGTGATAAAACTTTGCTGACGTTTAGAAATCGAGCTGCCTCCTGGCACTTGTGGTACATACACTGGTGGTTCTCAGGCCACTGAAGGAAAACAACTCTGAAAAGCACTTAATTGCTTTGATAAAGCCACTCTCACACTTTGTAAGTCAAGCTGTGATTTATCTCGTAGCTGTCTGCTTGTAACAGCAGAAAAAACACACCCCTTTTTTCAGCTCTCTTAAATAAATATAGTCTTCATGACCAAAATCCTGCTTAAAAGTGGTCCACCTGCCTGTGTCGTGGGAAAGCATGGTCAGGTTTTTGTCAGCAACCTCGCAAGGGATTGCTGTAAGGAATGTTCCAGGATTACAGCTGGATCGATGGGGAGGAGGGAGAACATCTTTGTGTCCAGGCTGAGGTTCTAACTTGAGACTGCAGAGTAATAGTAACTATACCTTAAATTATTTTGTCAGCATGTCCGTATGTTGTGTGCCTCGACATTTTGATGTATAGCACAGTTTATAAATTATTTTTTTTCTTTTTAAAATCCAATTCATTGCAAGTATAATGTAGTATCTGACAGTTCTGATGGTTCTTTCTTTCTCTCCCAGAGGTAGGACTAAACTTTGACTTGACTTGTGTATATGAACAAGCCAGAAAAGCCGAACACAAACCCACGATGTTTCAAGAGTGCATGAATAAAGATGTTGTCCTAGTTCTTGCTCCCATGGAAAAATTGTGAAGAAGCTGTTCTGTGGGCCTTTCAGTTGGGGACGAGTTAGCAGGATGTGGCCAAAAAAAAAAAGGGGCAGGGAATGTTTTATGCATTCATGCAAGTCAAGCCACAAGCCTATCTAGATATAACATCTCCCTTCCTTGATGCAGGTATCCTAGTCCTGCTCTAAAAAAAACCAAATATGAAAGAAAACAAAGCAGTAGCCTGTCTTGTGCAAGCTACCTGCAGGTTATGCACAGCTGGAATGCAAGAACATAACGCAGGCTACAAAAGATCGTGTGTAGGCATCTTTCTTTTGGAGTCTCAAGAACGGTGGGAGTTAAAGGGGTTGTTTTTTTTTTTCTGTGGTAAACTAGATTTTTTTTTTGTCATTCCTGCAAAATTTGTAGAGTTGAAGTAGTTAATGTAAAAAAAATTTCTGCTGAAAGTAATGGCTGTGCTCCCAAATATCTGCAGCGTATTGATTTATCTCAGCAGTAATAGAAGGCTCTGTTGGAACTTCTTTTTCATCAAAAGTCCATGCACCCAACTGGTAATTAAAAAAAAAAAAATCTTAAATTTAGTGGTTAAGTAGCTGGGTGTTTAAATTAGGGACTATAATAGACTGGTCTCTGAAAACTAAATGTTATCCTTTCTATGTCTTTTAAAGATGTTTAAATGTACAGTATAATGGCTTTATTCAAAGTGGAGATTTTCCATTTCAATGTTATTTTGAGCTCTCTTCTTGGAAAGAGCTTTTTTTTTTTTCCTTACTGTTTAGTCTGGGGTACCAGCTTGAAATCTGTTCAGAGAAGGGCAGTTGGATTGATCCACATCAAGCAGCACTGCTACTTGATTTTTTTTTTTGGCAGGGATGTTGCAGATGAAAGGATAAATTTACACATTTTTAGGACATAATCACCCATTAATAATTGCTGGTTTTCTCCATTTATCTTGTAACTTGCTTAAAAAGTCTGTAGTCCATTGCTATAATATTTGTCTAAAGCTGCTCTTACTGATGAGATGATGATAGGAAGGGAAAACAATGTACCCTGTAGTGTGTTTGATCAAAAGATGCTGATGTTTTATTCATACACATCCTTTCTTCTTGAGTTTTGTGTTCCATCTGTGCAAATAACCCTGTGAATTGGGAATAAAATGTACAAGTTTTGACTATAACTTGAGAGCACCTTCTGACTTAATTAATACAGCTGTTGGAGATTTGAGCACTGAACTACCTGGGGAAGTTCCCTCTAGTGCTGAGCCAGCCCCCCATCCTCACAGGTAGCAGAGCTGGATCACAGCTGTGCTCAGCTTGTCTCACAAGTCCCAGGCAGAGCCCAACAACCCCTGAGCAGCCTTGGGTTGGGGAGTAATATTAAGTGTTCTTTTCAAGCCCTGTGTTTTCAAGCTGTTGTGAAGCGATTCCCAGCTTGTTCTGGCCCAGAACACAGGCCTGGGGTTCTCAGGTTGCTGATTCTGCCCAGATAAAGCTAATTGTAAAGAGTTTCTTACCAGTCAGGATAGCAAAGGGGCAATGGGTGTGAGCTGGAACACAGGAGGTTCTGCTTAAACTTGAGAAGAAATTTCTTTACAGTGAGGGTGACAGAGCCCTGGGACAGGCTGCCCAGGGAGGGTGTGGAGTCTCCTTCTCTGGAGACATTCAAGACCCGCCTGGACACCTTCCTGTGTGATCTCATTGAGGTTCCTGCTCTGGCAGGGGGATTGGACTGGATGATCTTTTGAGGTCCCTTCCAATCCCCAATATTCTGTGATTTCAATACATTCTAATACAATTATCAGTATTCTAAAGTGTCACAGCTTTGTAGAGCTCCAAGCTGCCAAAATTACCTAAATCTCACTTTTTTTCATTACCATCTTGAAACAGAGGCTTTTAGGGGGTGAAAAATTGACTTTATTTAATTTTTTTGTTGTCATTTCCAATTTGTACACAGTGTCATTAATAACTGACAATTTGATACACAATTATAACTGGGATACAGCTCATACACTGGTGAAGATCCAGGTCACAAAGACATTAAAGTTTCAAGAACTACCAATTCCATTTTATTTGGAGCAATAGATTTGTAAACATTCAACCAGCTGCCAATACATTTTGAATGTACAGAAAACCACCTCAAAGAGCAGGTCAGCAGTGACCGGCTCCCCGGCAAGTTCAAGCACCTCGTTAGTAATTACTGTGTTTTGAAATAACCCTGGGTTCTGTTATCACAGTCCAGCTGGGTCTGTTACAGGATCTGATGAATTGTGACAGCACTGAAAGCTGCCCTGGCCCCATTCAGAAGTTCATCTATTTTAGCAAATATTGGGACAAAATAATGTTGTAGCATTGATTCATTTTAGAAACAGGAACACTGATAATACTCCAGCTTCATCAAGCACCCAATCTCCAGCTATTTGCATTTCTTGTGAAACATGATTTGATTTTGAACACCATAGTGTTTTTTCATCACTTAATTCACACCTCTCCTGTGCATTCTTAAAACTTGAGCAGCTTTTTTTTTTTTTTTTAGGGTTTTTTTTTTTAATTAAAAAATTCTAAATAAGCCTCTTTTGCACTGAGTTTACTTTAAAATGAGCTCACAACCAAGTAAAATGTGCATATTCACTGTATGGTAAGTGAGGGCACAGCCACAAATGTCCTTTTTTTTTCTTTTTTTAAACAAAATATCTTTTTTTTTTTTGTTTTAAATCAGGCCATGTACTCAACATGGTCTTCTTACATTCAGCAGTTTTGTACTAAAAATAATTCTGTGCAGGAAAGCCCAGCATAAATTTACATATGCTACAAAGTTTTACATATATTTACATGGCTCTGTCTTCCCTATGAAAACATGTTAATACCTACCACAAGCTACTGTAACTTAAAACAATTATTACAGGGTAACCAATTTAAGACCAGCCTAAGTAACTACTCCAACCTTAACTATTTAAAAAATGATACCAAAAAAATACATATATATGTTTTAAAACTCATCAGTGCAATTGGAATACGAAGGATTGTTTCAGGTTTTGGCAGTCGTCTGGCAATGCAGTGTCGTTAGTTGGCACAGTCTGACTTGAGATTCCAATGATTTTCCTGGAACTGCAGAAAGGCAATGACAAGCTTTCCCAGATGTGTTCTTCCATCCTTTCCAGAACACACCCCAATTCTGTTTCCTAAATCTCAATGTTAGTCACAGGCTTGAAATACTCACCAATTCCAGAGTGCCAAATAAAGCTCAGGGGTATAACCCAGAGTAGTTTTCCCTAATGCCCAGGTGGAGGTCTCCTCAGCAGATCTGCTCTGCAGAGTTTGTTACTGAACTAGCAAATTTCACACGAGTTTGAAAAGCAGCAAAGTATTTGACTAAAGCTTTCAGTGCATTTTTTTTTCCAGTTAATGCTGCATTAAGTTAGGTAAAAGCTGGTTTTCTAACACCACACCTAAAAGTAGTCACAATTCCAATTCTGAGAGACAGTCTCATTTACTCTTAAAATAAATGCTGACTGCTCAGGATTTTATTAGATTATAAAGAAAACACCTATTTCACAGTGAAGTGAACACAGCACACAACTTCTGAGGTAAAACATTAGGGGAATGTAAACTTGTACCCCCTTCTCTTCCAAGTGACTGACTACATGCAGCAAGAACATCTAGTTCTGTACACCTGTGCATCTGGAGTTAGGGATTAACAATCCTCAAATTTGAAACCCTGTAAATTTACATAACTTTTAACATATGAAAAGTTACATCTCAAGCCTGGACTTTAAGTAATGTTTTCAGCTGAAATGTCATCATTTCTTTATCAGAAGGTTTAAAAGAAACAGGTACCCAGTGGCTTGGTGGCTTAGGAAGAACACTTGGTGAGGGTGGCTCGCTAAATTTTGCTCCAGCATAGTTCTGATTGGTTTGAGGTGTGAAGAACAGGTTGCGATTCGCTAAAGCAGGACTCCAGTTTTGATTACTGGGGAAGTGAACATTGTTCTTTCCCCCTTTCTGCATGGCCTGCCATGCACTAGGTGACGAGTTGCATCCATGTCCTCTTTCTTTCTTCATATAGGTCTTCATCTGTGAATTCTGCTCTTTATTCTTCTGCCTGTTTTTAAGTTGTTGATGGTTCTTGGTGATATTTCTAGACTGGGGAACTGGAATGTTGAATCTTTCTCCACCACCCATCTTCAACTTAAATGTCACCTGTAAAAACAGGGGGGAAAAGTCAGTGGAGTTTGCATTACTACTTTTATTTAAATAAATAAATAAATTAATTAATTAATTCATTTAAAAAGAAAAAGAAAAAAAAAAACAGAAAATATTTCAGAGGATTTTTAGATTCTAAGCAAGGGACTGAAATCCATCCAACCAAAACTTGTATCAATTGAAAGCAGTGGTTTTACTGAACGCCACTTCAGTAACACCCGAGAACTTTGCTGACATACTGATGAGAACTGAATTACAATGCAGTGTATTTTCTGAGGGGGTGATTACTGACTCCACAATGGCTCAACAGTTCTGCTGCTGCTGGCTGACCAGCATATCACAGACCAACCCATCCTTCAGAACTGCACCCCAGTTCCATCAACAGTCACAGCTTTGTCCACCTATAGTTATGAAAACACTGATTCTCCAGGCAGCCCAACTACTAAACACACCACCACTTTTCTTCTCCTCAGCAAAAGGTGTTACTCAAAGAATGTGAAAGACAAACTGATCACACAATACAGTTCCAAATTTAAGGTGTTAGTATTTAATCCTGAAGACGATCTGGGCAAAGTTTGCACTGATAAAGCCACTCCCCAAGTCTTTCTGGTAAAGTCTCAATTACTCTGATAAACCCAAAGTGAAATGAAAACAACCTCAAATGGAAAGCAGCCGTTTGTAATTGAACTTCAAAGCAGCCAGCCAGATACTATCACACAGTACTTGGCACCCTCATGCTGACTCTCCTCCTGTATGCTATTCCTCTTTACCTTTCAGTTGTCTTCTCAGATTCCACACTCTCCCACTCTTGCCCCCTTTCTTGTTTCCAAGCCTGAAAGAGTAGGTGCTGCCTTTTGCTGGACTCCTTCCTTTGGCTGGGAATAGAAGTTTTCATGGGCTGATCTGCTGTATTCAGCCAGGTAGCCGAGCCCAACATCGGATTCTCGGCACAGAAGCTCCAAGGGAGAAGTCCCACTGCAAGAAATAAGAAGGAAGTTTTAATTCAGGTTAAAGAAAAAACGGTTTCCCTTTCAAATTAAAAAAAAAAAAGCTAAAATAATTCAGAGAATTCATAAAGTCAGTTGTGGCTCTTTATCTGTTCAAGCTTACAGTATACTTCAAACTAAAAAAAAAAAGCCACCACACCCCAGAAGTCATGGCAATATTTATCTTTATTTGTATAAAATTCACCATCATACTCAGCATTTCACAAAGAATAACATTTTTATCATGCTCTCGCTATATATTTTTTAAAAAGTATTTTAATAGGTAAGCAAGATTTTTTTTTTTTTTTAAATAGAGAGAAAAAAGTCAAATACAATGGAAAACACTCTGGGATGAACTCTCGGGGAACTAGCACTTCAGTGCATCACTCTTGAGCACAAAGAAACCCTCCCAGAAAGCCACCCCTGGGGAACTCACCCGCCTGACTCTGTGGGACCAGGGAATCACCGCCCAGAATTCCTGGGCACAAAACCTGACCCCAAGTGTCCCAACGCTCCCCATTAAACCAATCGCACCCAAACCCTCCTCCAGCCATTACAACGGAGCTCCACTGCTCATCTGCCAGCTGGTTTTTTTCACCTTTGTTAGCAAATTAATTCCTTACTAACTCTTACAATGATTTCCTGTTTAGGCAATGACTCAATACTTTCCTGAAATAATTTTAATCCTAAAGGACTCCAATCTGTTCACCTCCCCCTAATTGATCTATCACTTCAGAGTCACCAGCACCCCGTGTCCATCACTCCCCAAAAGCTCCAAGAAGAGCTTTTTTTCAACATTTTTCCAGCCTTCGCCTTCTTGTGACTCAAAGTAAAGGCCGAAGTCACGTCACTAGCACAGCCCAAGCTGCTCTTCGCTCCCCCCGGAGCCGCCCTCACAGGCTCGGCGCTGGC